TCTCATCGCCAATCGTAATAGCTAGAAAAATGATAAATATTATTTAATGTTAAGTATTATCGATATACAGCAAACGCACAAAGCCCATGGTTTATTTCCATATGGCAGAAAAATGTATGGCATAATTTATGAAAATCTTTCTGTTCCAGTTAAATATATATATATTTAATATTTCTTGCTTAGTTTATCTCCTCAGATTAGAAATATTAATGGAAAAAAAAAAAGAAAGAATAAAGAAATAAATTTCCGTATATGTATATGATTGTTCTAAAGCACTCGAAAGATCAGGTATGAATTTTTGTTAAATAATAAATGAATGTCAATATTATATAAGTCCGTTCAGATACGGGTACCTCAAATTTAGTCCATATTTATAAACATAGCAAGTATGCAATTTAATAAATCGAATATTATATGTAGAAATCATAAAAATTTTTTTTGCTTACGTAATATCTCTCTCTTCCCTTTTTTTTTTTTTTTTTTTTTTTATACCATGTTTCATCCCAATTCTACAAACATTTGCCCAGCTGAGTGCTCTAAAGTTCCTTTAGCCCTGATGACTTTATTATGTCGCATTGCATAGTTTTCCACATGTTTAACATAATTTGTATTATGGTGGTCAAAAACAAAGTAATTAATCGATCCTGGGCAAATGTTTAAAAATTCGTTCCATGTCAGATGATCAAATTCAATACCGATTAATTCTAATCTACGTAATGACGATGGTATGACACCCCCAAGTTTTACTAAAGATTTGCAAGGATAAAACCAAGGATCAAACAATATATGCCTTCGATGAATTATTAATTCTATCATTTCTTTACAAGAACTAAATAATGTGATAAGTTGATGCATCTCTGAATCCCTTTCAATCGTTATGCTTAATTTAAGAAGTCCAGGACAAAATTTTGCAATAGTTTCTAACATATCTGCATAAAATGATAAATTAATCCGTAGAACGATCTCCTTAAGTGTTTCTTTACAATTTTCTATAATCGACTTAAGTTCCATTGACGGTGTATCTTTATTAAAATCATTATCTATACTTAATGTCTTTAGGTATGGAAATTCTGCTTTCGCTAATGGTTTCATTAATGTAGCATTCAGATTATTACAATTTTCAAATTTTAGTACTTGTAAATTACTACATTTCGCTAATCCACAGAAAAATCTTGCACTATTTTCTGTCGTTGGAAAACTACATCGAATAAATTCTATTTGTCGAAATGTTCGTACTTGTGTTGATATCGATGATAAGGTACTGAAAGAATCTTTTTGCCAATTTGTTAAAGTTATTTGTTTTAACCTCATTTGTGCTTTAATAAAATCAATCAAGGTTTGCGGTGATGTTCCACAAGAATCATAAATAGAAACAATTTCAATTTCATTACATAATTCTGAAATTTCGTTATAAAGATTTCTTGTACAGGTTAGTTTTTTTTTTTCTTTTCTTTCTGAATTATCCACGATATTTAAAATAACTTTTGATACGTTTTTTCGCTTTTAAAGCTAAACACAATTTTTTTTGATCAAATTTTTAATTGAAGCCTTATCTTTTCCTTTTTTTTTTTTTTTTTTTAAACAACGTCCATCCATGTAAAAAAAATATATCTGGTCATTTCATTCATTCACTTATTTTCGCAAATTTATAAAAAAAAAAAAAATCCCCTATTAATTTCTTTGCCGATTATTCATTCACCTTTTGTAATACCTTTCATCAGCCACTACAATACGTCATTAGCTAAAGAGTAATATTTCTTCTCAATCATTACAAGTCATCCATGGAAACGACGCAAGCAGCACCTCATCTTCCACCAGAAACTCTGGTAGAAATCTTTAGTATTGTTGGAGAATATAATATAAAAACATTATATTCTTGCCTCCTTGTAAATAAATTTTGGTGTGAGAGTGCTGCTTTAATGTTATGGAAAAGACCATTTGAAGTAACTTCATTAAGAGCTTCAGCAAAATTAGTCAGCATATATTTTTTATTCTTTTCTAAAGAGACGAAAGCTAAATTACTTAACGTCGATGGAATAGACGTATCTCATCCAACATTACGACAACCAAAAATAGATTATTTGGCATATTTAAGGCATATTGACTTTAACATGGTGTATCGTGCTGTACGCATGTGGGTTAGTTATCAAACATTAAATGAACCTTTTAATTTAGAACTCAAGAAAAAACAAAGTAAGCAATCGAA